ATTTCCACTTGGCAGCATACAACATTTAGACAGAACTTCAGGATAATAAAAATATTTAACACCTATTGTGTGAGAAGTACTAATTCTGAATTACCAGATGGGTTTTAGTTTTTAATTTTACAGTTGATTAGAAGCCCACTCATATGCATGCAAATGCAGAACCAAGTTAAAATCCTTACAAGCTGGGTAACAAAACATGTCATGGACATAGTCCTAAAGCTATTATTCTAATATAAATCTCTAGAAACAAGACATAAAACTGATGTGGTACTTGGAAATTGAATCATATAGCATAGAAATATATGTAAACAGAGAACCTCAATGTTGAAAATCTTTGAGTGCACATGCTATAAAATCAAGTGTATTTCAAAGTTATGTGTCACACAACAAAGCAGAGAGGACATATAAGTCAGACAAAATAAGGAGAGCTTGGTGTCACCTATTATATTCACATATGATAGTTAATAGGTTCTGAAAGTGTAATGAAAACAAAATTTCCTTTCATTTCAATTGTGTTTACAAAGGTTCTCTCTGACATCAGATCTTCTATAGAGGCAGATGTTCCTGAACTTATAGTGGCGCTATGTCCAACAGAACCCACCCTAAACTGAAAACATCTGATGTTGAAAATGTATCAATTGCTCTATCCGACTGAGCCTGAACAACTGAACCACTGAAGGACTGAAGACTGAATGTTACAGCTTAGCAACATATGCACTGCGCAGCATCCACCTGTCACCCGCAGGGCTGCTGACCGGGAGCTACACTCACTGTTGCTACCCAGCATCAGAAGGGAACAACTCCACACCACAAGTTGCTAGCTGGGGAAGAGCTCACAGTATCTAATCCCAGGTTTGACTGAATGAGTATCACTTTTGCAACTTTACATCAGATCTCTGGAAGCTGAAGACTGTCTTTGCAAAGGTCTAGTCGATCAGATATCCGTTTTGTTAGCATGCTTATCTCTCACACATGTTTTGCTTCATGAGCATAAACCAAACATATTCCTTTATAAATGGAGCTCCTTAAGTTAGAATTCTGTAGCTGAAAATGGTGTACAGAGTACATGCCCGCATAAGAAAGAGTATCTGGCCAATATGCTGGCTCCTTCTGTGGGCTGAGCAAGGCTGGAAGAGGAAGAAGTCATGGCAGACAGACCGAGAATGAGCTGAGGGAGTGCTGATAATATGTTCCAGCCAGTTACAGACTTCACAATAACAGAGTAACTTTTTGGGAACTTAGGAGGTTCTATTCTATGGCTTCTGAGAATGAATCATAGCAGCTAACTAAGTGCCAAGTCCTAACGGACACAGTTTTGGATGCCAGAGACAGACTGTAAGTGTGCCAATGAAGGAATGGCAAGTGTGGGGCATGGAGGGTGTCGTCTCCCATTTTCCCAGCTTCCGGAGGCTCCCTTCTGTTAGAAGCTTCTAGGAATAGGAGCAACGAGAATGATAAAAATGTCAGGCCTGCCAAGCTGCTGCCTCTTCACTGCACTGGGCTCCTGAGAGCGAACTAGAAACACACAGGCAGTTGTGCACATGTGCACTGTCCCCAGGGTACATGCCTCCACCACGGCTCCCTTCATTGGTGGAATTACAAAATAGATTTACACTTGTTAGGAGCCAAATGACTTCTGATGTCTCCTATTTCATCAAACATGTTTTAAAATGGTAAATATGTCCATGGGGGACTGTTGAAAGTCCCATTAAAGAAAGCCCAGGTGGTAGAAAATGACTTAACAAGAAGAAAAAGAGGAAGGCAAATCCACTTATAAACCTATGTGTGTGTGTCTGTGTGTGTGTCTGTGTGTGTGTCTGTGTGTGTGAGAGAGAGCGAGAGAGAATCTCATTGAGTGTCCCTATTAGAGCTAATTCTGGAATAGCAATGTAAATCTTTCAGCCTCTGAGAATTCCTTTTAGTATGTCACTTTTCTGTAAGACATCTGGCTATGCTACCAACACTTGAGAAGCATTGGTAGGGCTAAGGTGAGGGTTGTTTACCTCTGACACTACCTTCTAGTTTACCTCTGCGGCTAGGGAATTTTCTGTGGCTTTGGAAGTGGCTCAACTTCCTGTCCAAATAACACTCGTCATCACAAAGAGGGAGAGAGTTATTCCTCTGAAGCTTCAAAATGAGTTCCTTATTTTCTAGTGAGTAACATGGGACTAATAAACACTTTTTAATGTATTTATTTGAGAGACAAAGAAGGAGACTTTTTTTTTCTGCTTGGTGGTTCACTTTCCAAATGCCAGAACTGGGCAAGACCAAAAGTGAGAGGCGGGCCTGGAACTTAATTCACCCCCCTGCCTGGGTGGCAGGGACTCAGGTACTTGTGTCATCACCGATTGCCTCCCAGGGTGGGCATTAACAGGAAGCTGGATTGGAAATGAAGCTGGGACTTGATCTTAGCCACTCTCAGGCAGGATGCGGGCATTCCAAGCTATATTTTAACTTCTGTGCCAAATGCCTACCTTAATGGAGTTCTCACATGTCCCAGGAGTAACTCTCCACTTGAACATGTTTTACACTTCAAAATAAGCAGCCAGTAGAGACAAGAAACCATGGTGTGCTTAGCAGAAGGAACACCTGGGACTTACATCACCATCGACATCAGACAGGGAGGCTTTCCTGTCTGCCAGTCAAAATGCAATGTGCCCAATTCCACATTCCAAGGCTACTGTGCTGGTTAGTGGGACTGAGGTGGCTAGCTGAGTACAGCCACACTCAAAACATTTCCTCTTAAAACCCTCTGGACCATGACTTGGGGCTTTAAATGTCATTTTTTTTCTGTAATGTGGGGCCAATGCAAGGGAAGTTCTCAGACTCTCTTAGGTGCCTGTAGGTCTTGCCAAGCTGCCTAGGAAAAAAAGGCTACTACAATATTTTAATAAAAATTTTTTGGCTTACAAAATGAAGAGTGACCAACACGGTGTTCCATGGTCTGTAACGACAGATGAGTCGGACCTTGCCGACAACGAGAAGTAACTGGGCTTCAGACATTTGCTCAAGGCCCCATCTTAAATTCTGTGCTGGCTGGTGGTTGTCCTAAGCGGTGAAAGCAGACACCTATGTTATGTCCTTGTGGTTTTTCCAGACACATAGTTGTGTCTTTCTTCTGCCTTAAAAAAAAAAAAACTTTATAGGTAACTAACTTAAATAACTTTACACGACTATGTTAATGAAATAAGTATGAAGCACTTACTCATACTTATCTCCTGGTCACTTGAAGAGTCCCTAGGAAACAAACCAGAACACACAAAGCAAAGCTTCCTATGAGCTGTAACCATGTAGTGCCCACGAGCACGGAGGGGGAAGCCACTGTGAACCAGGGCAAACAGCCCTGAATAATGCAGGGACCGACTAACCTCCTCAGGCTTTTCCTGGCTTCTTTAAATATTCATCTTCCACACAGCACACACAAAAATAGCCTTTTGTTTTTCCCTGATTACCCTTGGCAAAAGAAAAGTCACCATGTTCTCAGAAACTCTATCCCAGAGAGCAGCAAAAAGGTTTTCTGGAACATTGTGGGTTTTGTTTTGTTTTGTTTTACTCTCTCTCCATCCTCTCTCACTTAAAAAATATGTCCTCATTTTGCGCCCTTGAAAATGCACCTGGCTTTTCTGAATCTGGAGCTATACTGCCTTCCTAAGTTTCTTTAACCACCAGGAAACCAACAACTAGAGTGGCAGGTAGTGTGTGACCCCCCACTTACCTACGGATGTACTGGAGTCCTTCCTGCTCGTATTGCATCATCCATGTACTACATCTTACATATCCATGGTGACTGAAGAAAACAACTGTTTATACATAATCCTCAGCTGTTTATGCCTACTCCAGCCCATTGTTTCTGTATGAGCTATATAGATAGATAAGGCCTCTTTCTAAATTCTGTGCTTGCTTTCTTTTTCTCTCCTTCCCTGGCTCTTTTCCTCTCTTCATTCCGCTCCTCTTCCCTCCCTCCAAAGGAAAAGGGTTTCAGATTAAATAAAGTACATTGCATGAACAGCTTGTGTATAAGGGGTCCACTATCTACAGAGGGCTTAAGGCAGTGACAATGACCATGAAGAGCTGGTCGGCTTCCTCTAACCCCAGGGGCTGGAGATTCTAAACGACTGGGCTGGGGTACTTTGCAGAAGGGTGAAAAGTAAGACAACTAAGACAAAACAACTGATTTTGTGGCATGGGGGATAAACTCTCACGTGAGCCATGTTACAGAAGCTTTGTTGAGAAACACCATCAGGTCAGCTTGATTACATGGGTACTGATGATGTTTGTCCAAGAGCTTCAAAGCTGACCACAGGTTTACTCCTTGTGATGACAGTTCTCTTTTGAAGGAGAAACTTTTCTTTTTCTTTTCTGTTCTCTACTACTTTTTTGGCAGTACTTTTCTCAAACTTTCAAAGGGAAAGCAAGGGGAGACAATGAAATCTTTTTCCACTCATCTCCTGACTGCCTGGCTACGTGATTTACTTTGCTGCCTTGTTCCTCCTGACATTACGTGGGCATTGACAGTGGTGCCTATGTTTCATGCTTGATGGCCACTGGGGTACACTGGTTAAGGAGAAGACACAGAACACTGGGATGTTCCTGAAGTTGGTGCTTGATGGCCCAGGGCCTGGAACCTGGGAATACAGGAGAATAATTTTGGGATGACAAGTATAGCACTCACCTGTACTCTAGCATTCCCTGAACACATATCACTAGTACAGTGACAACTACTTTCTGTTGGCCCTTTTTCATTCTAAATTTGTTTGCTACTCAGAATTGACTTTTGTTAAGACAAAGGCATGTTTATTAAAACATCTTATTGAAGGTTTGGACATATTGAAGATTTCTTCAGAGTCTCCAAAAGATGGCACCTTGAAAGTGAAAAACAGATTTGCTACCCAACTCCTTAACATGGACCATGGGAATGGACAGCGCAGCTTACAGCGATGTACAAGGCCCAGTGTTGTGATGTCCCTGCTGGAGTGAGGTCTTTGCGACATGTGACATACCTGTGAAGCTTGAGGGTGACAGTCCCATACACTGTGGCGAATCCCAGGAGACGCGCCCATCTGAGGAGAATGCAGCGGAATGTGCTTGGCTCAAAGTACAGAATGACCACCTGTAGGAGGAAAGCAGAAGGAAAGGAGGCCTCGGGTCAGCTGAGGATCCATGTACCAAAGTCCAGGTTCTGTAACCTGATGTTTCTCACACAGGAAGTTTCATACCAGCTTCCCTCACTCTTTGAGTAACTCTTGAAACTGTTGCTTTGATCATTTGCCCAGATCAAACAACCACAGAACCTTCCCACTGCTTCCACATGAAGAACAAACCATTTCCATCTAACCTCTAAGAGTTTCTGTTTTTGATGAGACAGGTGCATTCCCAGGTTTACTGCAATACCACTCATGATAGCCAAGAAATAGAAACAATCAAAGTGGCCGTTTACCAAAGAATAAAGGCAATGTGAGATTTACATATATAAGAATACTACTCAGCCATAAAAAAGGATGAAATCGTTTCAATTGTGTGACAGCTTGAAGTGATAGGAGCAAGGCAAAGAAAGATAACTAGCATATGGTCTCACTCATGTGGAATCTTAAAAATAAATGCTCTCCTAAAGACAAACAGACGTTGAGAGAACGGTGTTGAGCTAAAGAAAGGAGTGGGAAAGCTTGATTGGGCCTATCCAAGTAAGCATAGCTGGCTAGGAAAAAGTAGTTCTGATGTTCTATCACATAGTGGAATGACTGCAGATAACAGTAATGTACAATATGCACTAAATTTATAAGAAAGAGATAAAAGGGAGGAGTCTCAATGGTTCATCAAAAGAAAATGATACAACTCTGACCTACTTGCTTTGAGTTGAATACTGCATAAAGTAGATAATACTGAGACACTGTCTGACACTCCATAAATACGTACAAGTTTAGACACCACCACAATTTCAGCCTTACTTATTCACAATATTTGCCTTTAATTTTCCAGTTCTCTAGGTCTGAGTGAATATACAGACAAGGATTTACCATCAGGATTTTATCTACCAGAAAAATGTTTGAATTCAACAGAATATTGATTTAAAAAGCAGTTCTTTTATAATTCACAAAGCAAATTTAGACTATATAAATTTACATAATAAAATTTACTCACATATTTTATCTAGTTCTAAAATGTTTATTTAGTTTGCCAGGACAAGAGAGAAAGAAGACAGGTAGACAGACAGAGAGAATTCCCCTTCCCACTGGTTTCGTACAAATGTTGAATCAGTGAAGGCTTGGGCAGGCCAAAGCTTGGAACCCAGAACTGGGTTCCCCGTACGAGTGACAAGGACTCAGCACTGAAGCCATCAACCGCTGCTCTCAGCAAGCTGACATGGAGAGTGGAACCACGTCTCAAGCAAGGCTCGCTGACATGGCATTGGGTGACCCAAGTAACATCTTTACCCTCTACAGAAATCACTTTGTTGTTTAGTAAGACATTTAAGCTGGAAGAAGGGGAAAATTTTTAGGAGAAAACACAAATAGTGAAGATTTGCTAGTTGATAGAGTGGCTTGGAGATTACACTGAGTTCTTTTTTGTATCAGGAAGAAATCCCCCTCCTCTTTACTCTATGGTATCAGCAGGTTAGAGATTGAGAAACTAAAGTCTGGAGCACACAAAGTTTCAAATATTTCCATGAAAATGACCTCAGAAATTACTGTAGAACTGTGGATTGTTGGGAGCTGCCAAATCATGTAATTTATTATAGTTTGAGATTGTGCACTTAACTCTATATAACAAATGAACACAGATGAATAATGACAATGAGGAATTTTGCAAATTTTGCAAATAAAATAAAATAATAAAATAAAATTTTGTATTTTATATATTTTTTTAAAGATTTATTTTTATTATTTTTTCATTGGAAAGGCAGATATACAGAGAGGAGAGACAGAGAGGAAGATCTTCTGTCCGATGATTCACTCCCCAAGTGAGCGCAACGGGCCAATACTATGCCGATCCGAAGCCAGGAGCCTCTTCCAGGTCTCCCACGTGGGTGCAGGTTCCCAAAGCATTTGGGCCGTCCTCGATTGCTTTCCCAGGCCACAGGCAGGGAGCTGGAAGGGAAGCGGGGCTGCCGGGATTAGAACCGGCGCCCATATGGGATCCTGGGCGTGCAAGGCGAGGACCTTTAACCACTTGCGCCACCGCGCCGGGCCCTGTATTTTATATTTTTAAAAGATTTATCCTTTTATTTAAAACTTGTTTAATACAGTGGAAAAAACAAGTAAGAGAGAGCTAAAGAGATCTTCTATTTATTGATTTATTTTTCAAATAGTCTCAATAATTGCAGATGGGGCAGGCGGAATCCAGGAGCCCACAAACTCCCTCTGAGTCGCTTCTGTGTGTGACATGGAGACCCCAGCACTTGGGCCTTCATCACTTGTCTTCCTAGGTGCCCCAGCAGGGAGCTGGGTTGGAAGCAGAGAGCTACAATTCAATTGAGGACTCTAATATAGGATGCTATTATCATAGGCGACAGTTTAACCTATGACACGATTCTGGCCACAACTTTTCATTTTATTTTATTATTTTATTTTATTTTTAATTGGAAAGTCAGATACAAACAGAGGAGGAGAGACAGAGAGGAAGATCTTCTGTCTGATGATTCACTTCCCAACAGCTGGAGCTGAGCTGATCCGAAGCCAGGAGCCAAGAGCTTCTTTGGGTCTCCCACGGGGTACAGGGTCCCAATGCTTTGGGCCGTCCTTGACTGCTTTCCCAGTCCACAAACAGGGAGCTGGATGGGAAGCGGCACTGCCGGAGTTAGAACCGGCGCCCATATGGGATCCCGGCATGTTCAAGATGAGGACTTTAGCTGCTAGGCTATTGCATCGGGCCCATACAACTTTTCATTTTAAAAGTGATACTTCCTATTGGCCTGTCTGGGAACTGGAGACATACCTCCCAACTTTTTTCCTCCCACAGGTGAAGAATTTATGACCTTAAACTTAATTAGATGCGTTTTAGAGAACTGTCCAGAAAATAGTAACCTGGAGTTCCCAGATTGGAAGCAACAGAGGCCACACAGGTGGTGGCAGAGAATGCGGGTTCTGACTTTAGTCTCCTGGCCTCCCCCTCCTCTTTACTCTATGGTATCAGCAGTGTGACTTTGACAAAGTACTTAACATGCCCTTTTCTTGCCTCAGTTGTCCCATTAGTAAAATGGACACCATCACCATCATCATCGTAACAGTAACAATTTTCTCCTGTGCTCACTTTGTGGTTCAAATACAACAGTGTATGGTGAGTGAGCAGTGGCCGTAGATTAGCGAAGTATTCAATGTGTTGGCTGATACTCCTGAGAAAGTTAGTTCATTTTTGTTGGCTGTCGGTATCACTGCAGTATGGCACATGCCAGCCTCTCCTTGCATCACGTCTGACTCCTTGTCACTCTCCCTGGTGAATTCCCACAGTGCTCTGTCTACTTGCTCTGGCACAATCTCTGTAGGTAAAACCGGGGAAACGTGTGCTTATCTGTATATTCTGCGGGTTTTGTAAATGCAACATTTATCCATTATAACCATTTGCTCTCTTTTAGTTCATTTTTAAAAGAAAATGTTATTGGGGTAGGTACCGTGGCATAGCTGGTATAACCACCACCTGTGATGCTGGATTTTCTATGGGTGGCTCTGCTTTGAGTCTAGCTTTTCCATTTCTTATTCAGCTCCCTGCTAATGGACCTTGGAAGAGCAGCAGAAGACGACCCACCTATGGGTTCTTGTGACTCATTGTGGGATACCTGGAAGAAAATCCTGGCTCCTGGCATGGGTGTTACCCAGCGCTGGGCACGAGGGTCATTTGAGGGGTACACCAGAAAATAGAAGACCTCTCTGTCTCTCTATAAGTAACTCTTTCAAATGAATGAATGAATAGATAGATAGATAGATAGATAGATAGATAGATAGATAGATAGACAGATATTTTAAAAAGAGAAGAAATGTTAAAACATTCTAAGTCAGAGGAGACAGATCATTCATGTCATATTCATATGATGGAAAACCATGACATTTAAAATAAGTAAGAGGGTCTCATATTGTTGCCTAAAACACCTTTAAGAGAACCCACTAAATGCTAAGAAATGCCTGTATACACATGAAAAGGACTATGTGGGACACAGGTGTGGTGGGTAGTATAGAAGAATATGGATATTTTTTAACTCTTTCACTTACATGCTATGGATTTTTTGGTACAATGAGAGTATGCCATATTTGTAATAGAGGAGAATATTAAAAAATGCATGAGAGAGTTTCTGTTGCTTCATGCAAATCCTTGTTAGTGCCCTCCAAGGGAGAGATTGGCTTCCAATGCTTTGGATCTGAGAGCAAGATGGAGAAAAGGCTGAATATAGTGTCCAGGAGATGATGTCGTATGGAGGTGACAAGACAGGGGCATGACCCAGAGAGACCAGACAATCCAGAGAATCCCAGGCTCCAATAAACAGACAAAAGCATTTGCAGAAATAAGGGGGAAATGATGCAGAGACATGATACATGATGAAATGACTACCTGCAAAATCTTGGAAACCCAAGAAGAGAACATTCGAAACCCCAGCACCCATGGACCCTTTCAGGTTTATGGGTAGCCACTGGTCCAGCTGTTCAGCTGAGTACACATTTTTATCCCTTCACATCAATGGTCTTGTGTAAAGCATTCATTGTATGTGTGGGGGGAGGGGTCAAAAACTTTCTGTCTAGAGATCAGTCACATGCATAGTCACCTTTTTCCTTTGGTTGGTGAAAGTGTGCAAATCAGAAGATGCCATAAACAACCAACCACAGAAACGAAGTCCAGTACAGCAGCAGTGCTCATGGAAGTCACAGCCCAGACTGGCCTATTCTACGCATGCCTCCCTCCGTGGAGACATCACTGTGGAAAAGACCCATTCTTGATGCCCCATTAGCAACAGGCACCTGCTTTTTGACAAGCAGGCTAGTCTCCTGGGAAGACCCAAGAAGGATCCAGAGGCCCAAGGGATTGTTCCACCACTGATCATGTGTGCGGATGTGAACAGCTCGTGCTGACCACCTCTGCCCACGTCAGAGAGGCTGAGCCAGTGTCTTCACCACTCTTTCTGTGAAA